GATAGATAGATATGTTGTCCATATATATATAGACTTGTTGTGAGATAGATAGATATGTTGTCCATATATATATAGACTTGTTGTGAGATAGATAGATATGTTGTCCATATATATATAGACTTGTTGTGAGATAGATAGATATGTTGTCCATATATATATAGACTTGTTGTGAGATAGATAGATAGATAGACAGACAGACAGACAGCTAGATAGATAGATAGATAGATAGATTTGGCAAAACATCCAGTCATAACTATTATTGCTACTTCCCTTTCACAGGACTTTATAAATGCTTCTATATTTGAGATGTACAGCAGGGCCGACCTTTACCTCTCAAAAGCAATCAAGAAATAATAACAGGACTGTAATAAAAATAATCTAATTGGTATTAGCATGAAGGGGGAAGGATGGCGCCACTTTGCCACTAGCGATATCATAGCCGCCTCCTGAAAAGTACTCATGACATTTAAGCAGCCACATTCTAATTGAGGGTTGTAAGAGATATATCACCAGGAGGAAGAACCTAATTTCCCCGGGGGAAAATGATCCAGGTTGAATGCTGAAAAAATGTAACACATCAGAACAGAATGTGGTCTTGGGCATATATACATTTAAACTGTGTCCACAAATGTTTGCCCTTGTGTCAATCAAGGTGCTAGCACACTTTCACTACAAAAAAGTTGGGTGTTTAGTTTCAGGACAGATCCAAGTTCTATCGTCACAACTGATATATGTGGTTCACATTAAGGTAGAATTGCTGAGAATCCCAGTTGATTACGAGTTAGTATATGCTACTTGAGTTGACAGACATGGCTTCTCCTGCTTATGGGAACCAAACAGGAAAACATCTTCTTATTTGTTTAGCATAATGTCTGAACCAGGGTGTGCCCTCCTAAGGGGCCAGAATCATAATCTGGGGTTTGTTTGTGTGTTTTATTATTCGGTTTTATTGGAAGAACAAGAAGTCAGGGGTTCCAGGATGCTAAATAGCCCATGTGTAGAAGTTCATTTGTTTAGGAGCCTTGTGGCGCAGTGGTTAAACTGCTGTACTGCAGCCAAAACTGTGCTCACGACCCGGGGTTCAATCCCAGGTAGCCAGCTCAAGGTTGACTCAGCCTTCTATCCTTCCAAGGTTGGTAAAAAGAGTATCCAGCTTGCTGGGGGGTGGGCAATGTGTAGCCTGCATAACTAACTTGTAAACCGCCCAGAGAGTGCTTGAAGCTCTATGGGGTGGTATAAAAGCAGCACACTTTTTGCTTTTTAAGTAACTCATTAACAACAAGAGTCAGGTAGATTCATCTATTAGTGTTTACATCTATATACTGTAGGTTGATCAATAGCTTTTAAACATGAAAAATAAATGAAACCTCTATATACCAAGACCTCTGATGTTGACCATGATGTTAACGGCTTGCTGGTACATGCACAGAAATATATGAATGGATACTGTTCAGAAATAATGGTTTACCATAAGGTGGGGTGAGTCTGATTCACAAAGAGAGCTGCTTATAGAAATCCCTCGATCTATACAAACCCTTGAGTTCAAGATACCTATTTCAATGATCTTACTACTCATAAGCAGCTGAAATAACAAAGTCCATATCTGAGACATCAGTCACAGTCCTAAGAAGTGCTCACTTTGAACTGGTCCTATTAGTCTGAGGATATGAGAGGGAAAGGGAATGTCTTCATGAAAACTGGCTTAAGATTTTACACATAAAAGCAGATTTGTAGTGTGTGCGTGAGACAGAGAAAAGGGTGCGTGAGAGAAAAGAAAAATAAGTTGAAAGAAAAGGGACTTGAGGAACTTGTTTGTCAGAACTTCTTTGTGAACCAACTTGTTTAAAAGATTTAGAGACTGCCTCGATACATACACAGGCCTGGCTCAGGACATTCAATTTTTGGTTAAGGCTAAATTTTGTTCCCTCAGGTCTGCTCTCCCTTGTTATGAAAGATTCTCATGAGAGTAAATGGATGAAAGGTATCATGTCTGCTAGCTTCCCCTGTGGGAGTCTGGCTCCAGACTCCTACGGCCCTGCATCTGGCTGCTTCCCGCCCCCTCCTCAACACCAGCCACCTGGCTCCAGGGGAGAAGGGACCTTTAAGCAGAGCCTTTTCAGCAAAGGGTGAAATTGGTGAGGTGCTGGTTGGTTGGTTTGGGGACTGAGAAACAGGGGCGAGGTCCATTCGTCTTGCCTAGAGAGATTCCTTTTTATTTGCCTGGCTGTTGCTGTCTGTCTGGGGTGGGAGGCATGTGTCTTTCAAATAAGGAGGCCAACGAGGGGGAGCAGGGAGCTGCCATTGGCACTACACTGGGTAGAGGGAGATATGGGGAGAGGAAACAAGGGAATTATTATAGGAGAGTGGGGGGGGAACAGGATCCTAGTCACCCCCAAATTGTCTCCCAATTCAGAAAGCCTGGATAGATGGGGCTATAGTCCCCCGGGTTAAAAATGCTGATGATGAATGGCAGGTCAGTAATAGGGAAAACATCAGCTATCCAGAGCCTGATCCTGGATGAGCATGCTGACCTGGCTGGATGAAGCTGGGCGAGTTAGTTTCTCCCAGTCTTGCCCACCTGGGTTCTCTGTGCAGTAGCAGGTCAGACCTGGGGGAGCAGGGAGGTGGAATTGCAGTAGTCTATCATGATCCCATCTCCCTTGCCAGGTGCCTTGTTCCACAGTTTCCTGGGTGTGATCATGTGTGTACTTAAATAGGGATTCTGTTGGTGTACCGTCCACCCCGCTGGTCAACAGTCTTCCTTCCTGAGCTGACTGAGTTGGTATCAGAGGTGATGCTGGAGTCCTCTAGGCTGATAGTACTGGGGGAACTTCAGTGTCCATGCTGAGACCAACTTATTAGGAATGGCTCAGGACTTCATGTCCTCCATGACAACCATGGGCCTATCCCAAGTGATTTCTGGCCCCACACATATAGCAGGTCACACTCTGGACCTTGTATTTCATGCTGGGCAGGATGATGGTGGTTTGGGTGTGGAAGAGCTATCTGTAGTTCTGTTGGCAGATCACTACCTGGTGAGGTTTAGACTTACTGGAACTCTTAATCTCTGCAGGGGTGGAGGATCTATTAGGATGGTGCGCCCCAGGAGACTGATGGATCCAAGGGGTTTTCTGATGGCTCTTGGGGAGTTTCCTCTTGCCTTGGCAGGCGATCCTGTCAAAGCTCTGGCTGATCTCTGGAATGGGGAAATGGCCAGGGTGGGGGACACAATTGCTCCTAAGCATCCCCTCCCATGAAATAGAGCCAGGCAAGTCCCCTGGTTCACCAGGGAGCTGGCAGTGATGAAACAAGTGGGATGGAGACTACAGCGACGATGGTGGAAAACTTAGATGAAACAAGTGGGATGGAGACTAGAGCGACGATGGTGGAAAACTTAGAGTGAATCTGACCAAACACGGCTTAGAGCCCATTTGAAGGCCTATTTCGTGGCAATGGCTGCAGTAAAGGTTCTTTGCTGCTGCCATTGCATCTGCACAAAGTCATCCAACAGAGTTGTTTTGAGTGGTCAGGGGCTTAGTGCACACCCCACCAAAAGAACAAAATATTGACCACTCAATGCGCTGTGAGGAATTTGCAGGACACTTTGTCGATAAAGTCGCTCGGATTCGGCGCTGTGAGGAATTTGCAGGACACTTTGTAGATAAGGTCACTCGGATTCACTCTGACCTGGATGCTGTAATTAATACAGATCCAGTGGATGTAACTTTGGCCCCGGCTTGTTCTCTTTGAATGGATACTTTTCAACCAGTGGATGTAACTTTGGCCCTGGCTTGTTCTGTTTGAATGGATACTCGATTGGTGCAGCCTGATGATGTGGACAGGATTCTTGGAGAGGTGAATGCCACCATATGTGTGCTGGACCCCTGCTCTTCCTGGTTCATAAAGGCAGCCACAGGAGGAATAGCTGATTGGGTACGGGGAGTGGTAAATGCCTCCTTGCAGTAGGGTAGGATCCCTGCTTGCTTAAAAGAGGCAGTAATAAGACCGCTACTGAAGAAGCCCTCCCTGGATCCCAGTGTACTGGATAACTACCAGCCAGTCTCAAACATCCCATTCCTGGGCAAGGTACTGGAGCATGTGGTGGTTTTTCAGCTTTCTGGCCATCCACTTTATAAAGTGCTTCTTCATTTGAAATATAAATGAAGGCAAAATATAAATGAAACAATTAAACTTAACTAAAATAATCTGGAATGAGGCTTCCTTCACAACCAATGAAGTAGACATTTATCCACTTGAAAAGTCATCAAAACCTGAATGTGTGTCCTAAGAATACTGTCGGTCCATTATTTGTGGTTCTCTGTATTAAAACAAACCTTTAAAAAAGTTAATTGACCATTCCCCAGAGTTCAAACATACATTTTATCCTCAGCAGTGTAGATGAAAAATCATTGTTTTTCTTTAAAGTGCATTTTGTAAGATTTAAAGCAGATTCCTTAATTTAAAAAAAAAAGAGTAGTAGAAAGTTAGATTTCGCCTTTTAAAAATAACAGTGTCAAATATCAATACAAATATGCCAAACCTACACTTAAGTCTCACAAAAATGAATTAATAGCTGTGTCACACCCACACACGTTGCCTACTAATCAAGGCTAGCTATTCATTTCGGCTTTCCCTATCATGAAAATGTCTTGGCTAAGTGCCATCTCTCACTTCTTCAAAGTTCAGAGTGATGCCAATTAACCTCTGTGCAAAGAACACCCGAAATAATCCCAGGGCACCCTTCTAATGTCTGGTTTACCCAGGCAGTTCTCCAGCCATCTGCAAAGAAGAGGGGGGCAAAGCGAAAATCTCCTGCTATCAAAAAAGGGCCTTTTTGTTTCCTCTTTTAAATCACTTGTTTCCCTTCTCTGGAAAAGGAGCGTTTGGCAGAGGCCCTTAAACAAATCAAGGATGTTAAGGTCAAGCCTAACCCCTGACACATTTCCTTTCAGCCAGCTCCAAGGGAAGGCTGTGGGACCAAAGATATTGTTGTGAACTGTGAGGAAAAGGAGTTGCCTCGACGCCACCTTCCTTCAATCCAATGCCCTGTGAATGTCTGTAACCGCCGCGCCCCCCATTGTGGAGCAGGCAGTCAACATGAGGAGACTAATTCTCGCGTCCCTCGTCCTCTTGTGGCCTCTCACCGCACCAGGAGGCTCCGCTGCGGAGCCCCACCTCGGTCACCGCACTTGGTGCGACGGTTCCGCGGCCTGTTACAGCGTCCACCTGGGCAAGTTCACCTTCCAGAGGGCCAAGAACGCCTGCGCCGAATATGGGGGCGGACTGAGCACAGCGAGCGGCAGAACCGAAATACAGGCCCTCCTGGCTCTGCTAAGGGGAATCGCCAGCGGGTCAGGCGCCCGCTTGTTTTGGCTGAGCCTGCTCAGGAAAGCCCCGCAGTGCACGCGGGAGGATTTGCCACTCCGGGGTTTCTCCTGGGCCGCCGCCGCCGGGTCTCTGGAGAGCCCAGCGAACGACACCTCGGAGACACCCCCCTGGGTGACGGAGCCGGTCAAGTCGTGCACCAAGCAGAGATGCGCGGGTCTTTCGGTGACTTTGGGGCAGCCGCTCCCGGGGTCTTGGGGCCTCAGGGAGCAAGCGTGCACGAGCGCCAGCTCCGGGGGCTACATCTGTAAGTACCGCTCCGAGGACGCCTGCCCCGCGCGCCACCCGCCCTCCGGCGCGCACCGCCTGCGCTACACACTCCCTCACCGCCTCCAAAGCCCGGCCGCCGAGTTTCGCCCGCCGGGTACGGTGCTCACCCTGCGGTGTTCGCCCGGGCAGGAGGCGCGCTTCGTCTGCCGCCTGTCACCCGACGGCTACCACTGGGAAGGCGCAGGCCACGGCCTTTGCTCCTGCCCCAGCGGCTTGTGGAGCCCAACGGAGGGAGCCTGCGTGGCGCTTGGGGACTGCCTGAGTGCCCAAGACGCCTTTCTTTGCCTGTGCGCCCGGGGCTCCCGCTTGGAGGCGACCGAGGCGGCCTGCGTTGGCGTCGGACGGACGGAAGACGCCGGAACCGCAAGGACGGGCCTGTCTACTCCGGCCACGACCGGAGCTTTCGGTCCCAACAGTACCAGCCCGCCGAGCCAGAACACCTCCTTGGAGCCCTTTCCTCCTGCAGCCGGCAACGGCACCGACGCGGGCGCAGAGGAAGCGTGGCCTTTGCCCGCTTCTTCCAACTATGTCTTCATCCTCGTCACGGTGGCCGTCGTGTTGCTCGTGATTCTGATCATGGCCGCGCTCCAGGTCTTCCAGGCCTGCTTCAGGGTGTGCTGTGCCTCCAAGCGATCGCAAGCCAAGAAAGATAGCGCCCCAGCCACTGCCGCTGAAGAAGACCTGGACGTCTCGGCCACCCGCACCCACTCGGAACACTCCTTGGGGCCGAGTAAGGCAGAGTCAAGAGAAGCTTCTCCGGATGATGGCATGCCAGGAGATGGCCCAGGGGATTTCGGACAGCCGTAAAGAGACGGGTTTTTCCTCTAGAGACAATGAAGGATTAGCCATTCAGAGACACCCCCTCCCCATGTCTCCTTTGTAGGATAAAGAAACAAACACGTTCTTTGATTACTGATATGTAACTGGAAGTTTCAGCTTTGTTTGAAGATGTTTTTTCTAATTGGGAACATGTGGGTTCCTGCTTTGTGGGCCCTGGACAACATCTCTTAGAAGGACTCCCAGGCACACTCATGAGACCTAACTGCTAACTTGTCCAGAGGAGGAAAGTCCATGAGAGTCACCAGAGTAAACTACCCAGAGATGGTTCTTACAGCACTTTTGACATTTGTCCCTTGGGGCAAGTAAGCCTTTGTGGTTGGAGAGGCAATTGCATGGAGCAGCCCTAAACTCCATTCGCCTGTTCTCTTTCTTTGACATAGCCCTTGAGCTCATTCTCTCTGGAGGGTGCTTCAGTTTGGCTCTCAGCCACTCACAAGGAAAGAGCAACTGGGTGTAGCCTCTATCCCTTCCACTCACTCATTGATTTGCGCTCTCTCCTCTTTGGAAGCTGCACTGGCGGACTGAGTTTCTCACTTCTCCAGAGTCCCAGGAAAAGGAGAGCTGAGCTAGTGAGTTTGTTGGGCTTACAAGGAATTGCTGCTTCATCTTGTTTATCTGCTGTCTCACATTCTAGTTAGGTGGAGGTATCTAGTTGGCCAGTCTTAATGGCTGTGTTTTCCAGAGGGAGAATGCACCCTGCACTTGTTCCTTGCTGCTGTGTACAGTACAGGGTGTCACCTTTTATCACTTAGCTTTCTTATTTTTGATCCCAAGATTGGTCTGGCAGTTCTCAGTTAAAAGTGTGAGGGAAAAGTATTGATCAGAAATTCACAGTCTTGAATGATGCTAGTTGATTGGATCTCATTCAGATTTTAAAATTCAAGGTAACATGGATAGTGGTAATAGCATAGTTCTATGGTTGGCTTGATTGGAAGGAAATCTTATTTAGTGCAAGTGGTGCTTATTCCTAGGAAAGTGTATAGAATTCCCATCTGGGAGAACTAACAGCAGAAGAATGGGCCAGTACACGATAGAAAAAAAAGTGGGAATTCCAGAAACATGCAGAAAGTGGGACACTGGTTAAATAGCTCTCATTGGCCATGGCTAACTTCTACCTGCCCATTGCTTTTAATTACTCTGACTTGCATTTGCAAAGATTTAACTGAGAAGTTATTCTAATCAGATTGTTTTCCATTATATTATTCTTTGCACTCACTAAGGCTTTCTTTGGAAGCTCTTCTTTGCCTCTACAAAATGAAATGTGCCAAGGAGAGGGCTGTCTTGGTGGCACCCAGCTTTTTAAAGAGTGGTCTTTCTAGGGCCTTATACTGTGGTCTTTTCAGAACCAAGCTAATACCTTTTTTTGTTAGCTCTTAATAAATGTTTTATTCTTGATTTGATGGATCTGATGTTACTTTAATATTCTCCTTTTATTTTCATTACACTATCGATTTCTCTCTTAAAAAATATAGCTAGTAGTTTTATTGACAGATTTGGTGTAAACCTACCTGGTAAACTTGATTTGAAAGGCAGGGTACAAATGTACTGAAAAATAAAAATAATTGGTACACATAAATTCATGTAACAAAATCCACATGACTTCTTCACTGCAAAATATCATGGAAAGGAGACAGTTTGGAATTTTTTTAAAAAAATGAAATGGTTGGTGGGGCAATTTAGATCAGAGGAAACTTCATCTGAGCACATTTTCCTTCTTCAGTTCCCAGTTCATTGGAAGAGAGAAGGAAAAGAAAGAGAAATAACAGAAATAAGCCCCTTCCTTTTGTTGCAGATTCTTTCAGGCTATTTCAGGGTGCAACTTCATGGTCAAAGGATCACATGATGCAAGACTAATTCGAATCAATACAGCTCTTTTTGCTCTGAATGTGGAGTTTGCTTTTTTCCCCCTTCCTGCCACTGGGGGCTTCTGCTTTTTTAAAACTGGAATGATTCAAACAGACTTTTCTCTTTCTGATCAGTTTTTTTTTTTCTCCAAAAGGATGCAGGGGGTGGGAAGTCATGATCATGGATGGTATTCTAGTGACATACTAAGCTGGGCAAGATGTTTTGGACAGTGGGAATTCTCATCCCAGTGACCTTTCTCCTTTATCTAATTTAGTGCTAGGTCACCTATATATGGCCAAAAAACCCAATTACAATTGTTATGAAATTTAAAAAACTCAGAATAGCAGACTTCTATGTATGTATTTATGTATCTATGTATGTTGTTATTTTGACTTATATACCACCCCATAGTGCTACAAAACTGTCTTGGGGGGCTCACAATATAATTATGCAAACACAAACTTCCCCCAACTCTGCAAACTGGGTACTCATTTTACAGACCTTGGAAGGAAGGCCGCATCAACCTTGAGTTACATTGAATCAAACTCTGGCTGTGAGCAGAGGCTTGAATGCAGTACTGCAGTTTAATCACAGCACCCTGGGGACATGTGTTTGTATGTACATGTTTGTACATTATGGAGAACTTTGGAAAGATTGGCAGAGGGTAGGATCAAAGGAAAGGGAACTGTGGGCAGTGTAATCACAACCTCAGTCAAATGCCTTCCAGCCAATTTCCAGGCAATGAAGTCCAACACTTTTGGGTGGCTAGGTGCAGCTGGCCTAAACTGGTAGGACTGCTTGCATGTTGAAGGTCCTACCTAAAAGTGCATTTCGTTAGGTGGAACTTTTAGGTTTGCTCTCCCTCAAATGCATAGGTTTAATTAGACAATAACTGCCTCATTCAGAGAAGTTTGGCAGACTAGGAACTTGCTCTGACTATCATAAATAGAAGAAAGAGAATCTTGCAATCAGTCTGTCATTTGGCAAGTCATTATAAACCTTAAAATGGATGTATGCTTTGGCATATCTATAAAACATGAACTTTGTCAAGTTCCTGAAAGAATGTTGCATTGCCATATTGAGATCAAAGTGTTCTATATAATATGTGACAAAGCTCAATGGTTTGCTATATTACTGAAAGGCAATTTAACAAGGGCATGAGTTGGAGCAACATGAGGGAATGTTTCCCTTTGCTTTCTCTGTATGCTTTTCTCCTTCCAGTTACATCTGTGTGGTAGAATTTTAATTTAATTTAATTTAATTTAATTTATACCCCACCTATCTGGTCAATTGCGACCACTCTAGGCAGCTTACAACACACACTATAAAAACAATTAGACCTATAGCATAATCAATGAAGGCTGGAGTTCATAGGTTGGTCTTACGGTTCAAAATTTAATCATTATGACCTAATTAATAGATCAGTTGCAGGAAAAATATGAAATTAGCAATAATGAACACTGTTTCTTAAATGAATCTGTTACATTTGTAGTCTACTTTTCTACCAAGCATTCCTAGGGAGCTCTCCTTCCTACTTCATCCTCAGAACAATTCTGTGAAGTACATCCAGCTAAGACATCATGATCTGGCCCTGTGCTGCTCAGGGAGTGCATTGGTTGAATGAGAATTTGAACCTCTGTCTTTTGAGATCTAATCTAACACTCAAATACTTTCCTTGTTAATGATCCCTATGAATCCCCTATTTCACAAATGGGGATCCCAAAAGCACACTGGAGATACACAATAATTATGTCATACTACAAATGGAAAAAGGGATGGAAGAGATTTTAAAATAGATTGTGTTCACTGAAATAGCAGGTTGTGCAAGTTACACTTGACCTTCGTAAAGGAAATAAACGGGGCTTCTAACAAACTGGTCCTATGCAGAATTAAGTGTGCTAAACTCATTGATTTCAATGAGTTTAGCCAACCCAATTTTTCATAAGATTCAAATAGGATTGTAGTATATTAGCAATACTAATTCATGACCAATGGTTCTATATCCTGTGCAGATCCTGATTCCACAATGATAATGCAGAAAGTCTTGTAATTTCCAACACCAACCACTTTCCCCCCAAAAATGCCTATAATTGTATAATTTACACCAGTGAGTTCATAGAAAACTTTTCTAATATTCAACCATTAAAAGCACACAAGACCCGGTAATGTTAGAAAGGATGAAATTGTCCAATTCTCTGATCTAGCACAATAGGACTGTATACTTCCTTGTTACTTGTTAAATCTTACTTCTAGATCAGCCATTCCTTGTATGACATTTTAAATGGTTGTAGACATCTTGAAGTGAAAGGGAAATGTAAGCGGTGATTAAGGATATATGATGAATATTTGATGATTTATCTTTCATCACATAATCTGGAATAAAATTCAAATCCTCAAAAAACGTTTAATAGTAATTTAAACTAGAAAGTGCTTGATTAAATGTGCTCTAGGATTAAAAATAATACCAAAGGGCCGCCAGGAACTAAATTCAAAGACTTCAAAGAACATTCTTTTTAAACATCCAAAGTACTGCAATTTAATAAAGATTTTATAAAGTGAGTGGGTTGAATACTTCCCTACAATTTGGCAAACTTCCCTCTGCCCTGTTTCATTCTCTTTCTCATTTTTAAATGTTAAAACTCTGGGTAATATCCATTGTTAGCTAGCTATATGTTCAAGAAGTGGTGTAACATTGCCACCCCCAAGTGAGTTTCCTGAACTGGGCAGGAATTAAAACCTGAGTCCTAGAGAGACACTCTACCCACTGCATCACATCCCTCATTACATTAGCCTGAAAATGGCAAAAAAGGAGGTTACCTACCTGTAACCATATTTCAAGTGTTCCTCTGTGAATCCACACAGATGGGTTGTTCTGCACCTGCACTGAACGTCTCAGAAGTTTCTAGAGATTAAAGACACACGATTAGTGGGACGTTCCCCCGTGGAGCGCATGCTCCGCCCATCCTAGATCCCCTCAGTTCCTTTTTTCCGCCATGATGTTTAGACCTGTTTCGGAAGAAAAGAACAATTTGTCAGTTTGATCATCCAGACATATCGTATTTCAAATTTAGCCTCTTTATTTCCAACCATACAATCAATGTTCCGCTGTAAGTTTGTTCTATTTGTATATATCCATGTTTTTGCTTCCCCCCTTCTCAAGCCATTTTTCCTTCCTTTCCCCCCGCTGTTTATGACCTCGTCCGGCCCTTTTAAGTGGTGCGTTGTTTGTGCCAACAAAATACCTCTGACTGACGGGCATGACCACTGTTTGTTTTGCCTGGGTGCACAACACCCCACCCACTCTTATGCGGCGTGCAAAAGATTAACGGAGCCGGCCATCAATCTTGTGATTCCAAAGATTGAGGTCATACCTTTGGGCAAAGTCTCTCAACCCTCCCACGGCTTCTATGGAGACCACACAGTCCCCAGAACCTCAAGCAGAGCGGCAAAATCCACCACAGCCAGCTCCCGGTTCAGTGACTCCTTCTCCACATCACAAGGAGAAATCTGATAAACCGAAATCAGCATTGAGGCCAAAGTCGATGTCGAAGACTTCGACCCGAGCCCTAGACTCTTCTAAAAAGAAGAAAGATGACTTCAAAAAAGGCCAAAAAAGGGTCAAATCTATTCATATTGACCCACCACAACCAACCTTGCCTTCTCCTGTCATGGAGAAATCATCCAGAGATGTTCCTGGGTCTACATCTGAGAGGGAGGAACTACCTTCGGCCCAAGCTCCAGTCTCTACTGGTAGCTTGTTGCCTAATACCGGACTTTCTCCGGCTGATGTGCAATCCAGCCAGGCTTTGGCCCATTCTAGCCTTGCTTCATCAGGTGGGCAATTGTAATACATCTCTCGGGCTCAGAGTCATCTCAATACTCTCCCAGGAAGCACCAAAAGAAGGGCAAAAACCTTTCACCTCCTCAGTACATTCCCCCATATCGGGAGTGCTATTACTACTTACAATCTTCACAGTATCAATCTTGTGATGAAGAGAGGGAGAGATACTATCACTATGATCCATACTTAAATGAAGACCCTCAGGAACAGCTTTCTAATGAGGAACCCAAAAGAGTCAGATACACACTACTGTACCCACCTCAGTATTCGCCATCACTCTCTCCACATCCACTGCCACATCAACATCGATCTCAGCACTCCATGTCCATTTATCCTACTGCTCCAGCCAAACCAACTTTGAAATGCTCACTGCCGGCCATCCAACATTTACACTCCAAACAATCCAAACAGTCCTCTAAACCGTTACAGGTCACCACTACTTATACAGGTCCCCCTACCCAAATGGAAAGATGCCCCACACGTCCTCCCATTCAACTTCAAGCTCCTTCTGTACAAATGTCACTACTGAAAACTCAGGATCTATCCCCATCTTCATCTTCATCATCTATCCAAGATTTAGACTCGGACACATGTCAAGAATCACCATTGAATCTCCCAACACCTACCTCTGATGTCAATGAAAACCACCCTCCATCTCCATTTGAAGACTTTACCTCGTACTCCCAACTAGTTTTGAGAATGGCCAAATCCCTGCAACTCGAGATCGAGGAACAGCCACCATCCAAAA